TGGAAGGGTGACAGCACAGTGAGCTCTGCTTCCTGCTGCTGCCTTTCTCTGTGCCCTCCCTGCGTTTTAACCCAGCTGCCTTCCTCACCCTCCACCTGCAGCCATGGGGTGGGTGCTGCTTCCCAGGGCGCTGCAGCTGCTGTTCCTGTGCTGTGTTTCTCTGATCCGCAGTGCACGGTTTGGCCGCGGCCAGGAGGTCTCAGGGCTGCTGGCTCCGCTCCATGCGGCTCTGCAGCAAATGTCACTACAGAACTCTCCGATCCAATTCAGTGTGTATTTGGGGGGAGGAGGCTACGAATTGCTTTACGTGTCCGTAGTGGAGATAAGCGACTTCAACTCGTGTTGACTCTTTTCTGGCTCCAATTTTCTCAGCAGCAGCAGCTGGGCCGCCTGGCTGCTCGCTGTGGAGCTGCACCGAGGTTTGGCAGCAGTTCTCACATTTCTTAGAGTTATCTGCTCCGAGCTGCGTTAGGATTTCCACCCCATTGGCTGCAGCAGCAATTAGCAGGAAGAAATAGCAGCTCAGGATTTGCAGCGGTAGCGGCGTGGCTTTCCCCTCTGATGCTGTGCTGAGGCTGAGAGCAACGCCTCCAGGTTTGCAGCAGCTGCCATCGCTGGGTGCAGGTTCTGCACGGGGTGCGCTTCCATTTCGGTGCTGCAAAAGGGGCACATTGAGCTCCCATCCTCGCCCTCGTGCAGCACGGCTGCTTGCAGCCCACGGAGCCGTCCCTGCAGTTCCTCCAACGCTGCCAGGTTTCTAACAGATCACATCTCTGTTGGCTTTTTTTCCTCCTCAGCCGTACCCTCGCTGTTGGTTCCCACATTATGAGGCAGTTTCTACTTTGCAAATCGGGGGGACGGGGAGGAAAGGTTTCTCCTTTCTTGGGAACACGATCAGGGCTGCAGAACTACCCACAAAGGAGCACGGCCGGGCACTGGCAGGGAATGCTTTCTTCTCCTTTTGATTTAAGGGGCTCCACAACCACAGAGTGTCTGCTCTGAACAAAGTAATCTCAGCCCGGTCCTTACCTCGAGCTGTTGCTCTATATCACAGATGCAAGCTGCGTGTGCTGCCAGCACGAGGCCGTAAATCGAGCTGGGCTCTTTTATTAACTCAAAATTAGATGGATCTAAAAACTTGCTTGTGGTCTGCAGCTTAACAGGAGCACGAAGCTGCCCAGGTATGCGTGGTCCTGCAGCAATGCACCCTGCGGTGCTCCATGCTGGCTGTGCTCCTGCAGCAATGCACATTGCAGGCACAAATACTTTGGTATTTTAACAGCAGCCTTTTGCTGACCGGGCTGTTTGCTTTGGGGGTTTTGTTGTTGTTGCACTGAGATTCCCGTCTCACCCCTCTGCTGATCTCTGCACATTCTGTGTTTTATGGCAGGAGCAGAGCTCTCGTTCTGCAGCGCAGATGCAGCATGCAGCTGTGACAAAGCCCTTCTCCATGCCTGCACGCAGACATTGAACTCCCAGATACATGCGTGAGCGTGCAGGACCTGCTGTACGCAGTCTGGGACAAAAATCACCCGGGGGGGCTCAGCCTTCACCTCCCACCTCCTTCCCCAACCCCAGCGATGCTCAGCCACAGGAGGGTCCCGAGGAGGAGCAGGGCCGCGTGCTCCCTTGCTGCCCTGATTCAATTTCCATTGCTGACCGGCGCAGAGGGGCGCTTTGAGCCGCGCTGCCGCCCCGTGCAACTCTCCCATGGCTCTGCAGGAGAGAGGAACGGCAGCAGGAGACCAAGCAGAGCTCAAAACCCCTCCCGGAGGCTGAGCCCCCACCTCGGGGTCCGGACCCCCCCCTCTCTCTGCTGCTGTGGGGGTCGCTCCTCCCCTCTGCGGCAGCGCAGCGCTGATGGGCGCAGGGACGGCGCGTCCTCCTGCAGGGAGCCCACAGCTCTACGTGGGGGGGGGGGAAAAACCCCACTGAAGAGCACAGGTTCTCCTTGCTGGAGGAATAGGGGTGAGGGTAGGACACCTCCTTGCAGCAGAATCTGGGATTTTTCTTCTGCATTTTTTTCCTTTCTTAGAGCTTTGGGGCTGTGAGCAGAGCTTTGCGGAGAAGGCATTTCTAAATTTTAAGCTGTAGGGGTTTTTTTTGCCATCCCCTCTCCCCCCTCTGTGGCTGCTGCTTTGCATGAGGAGCTCAGGGGTGCAGCTCTTCCTCAAGGCACAGAATCCCACGCCTCTGTGCCCGTTGCTGGCAATGCCGTGTTCCTGTTGAGCAATAAATGGGTTTATTTCCAGGGATTGGTTTGGAGGACACGCAGGGTTTGCAGGGGCTGCAAGCACACAAAGGGCCACGCAGCCGTGGGCAGAAGGGAGAGGTGCAGTGCAGTTCCATGCAGGGGCACAAAAAAGGGTCCCTTCGTTGTGCAGAACGCGGCAATGGGGGTTTTGCTTTGGGAGCATCACCCCTCTGCTGTCCGGGGGGATTTGGGCTGAATGGGGGGAGATTTGGGCTAATGGGTGGTAATGATGGGAAACGCAGAGGTGTGGGGTGGGGAGGGGCTTTGTGACATCCCTCCGTGCTGGCATTGGGTGGGGGGCTGAAGGGTGTTAACTAACAAACTCTGCTTAACGACGCGCCGACAAACTGCGCCGCCACATCGCCGGCATCGCGGCAGCTGTTCTGCTGAAATCATTTGATTTGATTTGATTTGATACGGCGGATTAAAACAATAAAAACATTAAAAGTCCTTAAAATTCCCCCCCCGAGAGCCAAGATGCAGACAATGAGGGCTGCGTGCGTGTGAGCAGGGGGTGGGAGAGCTGTAAATCCATCGGGCGGCGGCGGCTCCGCTAAATGGCACCATTACATGAAATGAGGTTCTGCCATGTGAGCGGATCTGAGCTGGGAGGGACCTGAAGGGACCACAGATCCACCCTGCAGCCAAAGCACCCTCGCTGTGCTCCGTCCCCTCTGGCTTTTCTTGCACCGAAGGAGCTGCTCCGCTCCGTCCTTACGGAGCAGCGCAGGCACACAGCGATGCTGAGAGAGGGCTCCTCCTCGTTAGGCAGCCCTGTGGGTGATGAATTGGGTAATTAGGAGCGTTGGGGTGCGATGAAGCTGGGGTGGCTTCTGGGGGGGGCTTTGCTCTGCTCCCCAGAGCTGAGGTGCACAGCCCTCACCCAGCATTCGGGTTCTGTGTGTAAAAGAGAAGGCGTCCATCTGCAGTGCTGCATCCAAGGACCCTTCCTTCCTTCGTTCCTCCCTTCCAGGACCATCCCCTCCCAGCCCAGAAGCTCTGCATCCCAACAGAAAGGAAAGCAGGCCGGAATGCCAGGAGGCCTCCTTCTGAGGGCCCTGCTAAGGCACGTGGAGAATAAAGAGGAGGGCATTGGTGGCAGCCACCATGGATGCACCAAGGGCAACTCGTGCCTGAGGAACCTGTGGCCTTTTGTGGTCCCTTCCAACCCAAACCGTTCTGTGATTCCAACGCAGTGCAGCGTAGGTGAGATGTGGGGGTAGAGCCTTGCGCCGGGTGGCTGTGATGGCACAAGGTCCCACTTTTCTCCTTCAGTGCCACACAGCTGCCCAAGCAGCTCAGCCCTGGAGCTTCCTGTTGTAAAGCAGAGCTGAATGCATCTCCCTGCTGTAGGGCAGAAGGGAATTGAGCTCCCTGCTAGAAAAAAGGGCAGGATTTCAGCTCCCTGCTATAAGGCAGGAAGGAATCAAGCTCCCCGCTTTAGGACAGGCAGGATTTCAGCTATAAGGCAGGAAGGAATCAAGCTCCCTGCTATAGGGCAGGCAGGATTTCAGCTCCCTGCTATAAGGCAGGAAGGAATCAAGCTCCCCGCTATAGGGCAGGCAGGATTTCGGCTCCCTGCTATAAGGCAGGAAGGAATCAAGCTCCCTGCTACAGAGCAGGCAAGGATTTCAGCTCCCTGCTTTAAGGCAGGAAGGAATCAAGCTCCCCGCTATAGGGCAGGAAGGATTTTGGCTCCCTGCTATAAGGCAGGAAGGAATCAAGCTCCCCGCTATAGGGCAGGAAGGATTTTGGCTCCCTGCTATAAGGCAGGAAGGAATCAAGCTCCCTGCTATAGGGCAGGCAGGATTTCAGCTATAAGGCAGGAAGGAATCAAGCTCCCCTCTATAGGGCAGGCAGGATTTCAGCTCCCTGCTTTAAGGCAGGAAGGAATCAAGCTCCCTGCTACAGAGCAGGCAAGGATTTCAGCTCCCTGCCCTTCCCTTTGCTCTCAGGAGACGCTGAGCTCCCAAGGAACCCCAGCACTCGCTGTCGGACACGCAGCCATCGTCTCCTTTGTTAACGTTTTTCCTGCAGTGCCTTTCCACGCACGCTCTCAGCTCCGTCTGCTCTCCCCCTGCTGAAGCTGAGCGGCTGCCTTTCCCCTCTCCGTGCGCTGCTGGTAGGTTGGGGGAGGATTGATGGCTCTCCCAAGGTCACAGCGGTGCTGCTGGGAGTCGAGTCGGGGCCGTACGGATGATTCACGTCCACGCAGGAGCCATCCAGGGCTTCCCATGGGGCAGCCACGCATCCGTGGGCTCCGCTCCGCCCCTCCGCTCAGCTCCGTTAATTACCGCTGCGCCTCTCGAGTTATGTGGCAGCGGTAATTAATACGGGGGTTCTGATAACCTTCCCTCGTCTGGGAAGGAGGCAGGGAACGCTCCGCCGTGTGGAGGTCAGCGCTCACTGCAGCTCGGGAGGGCAGGGATGGAGGTGTGGGGGACGATCTGAACCCAGACCGGGGGTTTGGGGTTTGGGCCGCTCTCCTCCTCCGGAGCACCTCGGCTGTCTGCTCCTCCTCTGCCTTTGTTCACATGGGCTTCTGTTGCAAAGCAGGGGGATTTTCCTTGCTTTCTCTTTGCCCGGTGAAGTGTGGGTGCCCCATTCCTGGGGGCGCTCAGGGCCGTGGATGGGGCTCTGGGTGGCTGACAGGGGTGGGAGCAGCCCAGGGCAAAGGGTGGCGCTGGGGAGGGGGGGCTTTGGGGCCCTTCCAACCCAACCATCCTGTGGTTCTGTGATCTTTCAGGACCCTCCCAAGCCAACCGTCTCAATGTCCCATGACCGTTAAGAACCCTTTCAGCCCAACTATCCCATGGTTTTGTGATCTTCAAGGACCCTTCCAAGCCAACCATCCCGTGATTCTATGATCCTTAAGGGCCCTCCCAGCTCAGGCCGTGACACCGTTCCGTGCTTGCTGATCCTCCAGCACAGCCTGCAGAAATCCCTTTTTGCTGCGGTGGTTTTTGGTGGTGGTCTGGCAGGGCTCGCAGCAGTTCAGTCCCACTGGGATGTCAGCCCAGCATCAGATCCACTCCTCCCCCAGGGCTGCAGAACTTCAGCTCTGTGCAGGCGGAGGAGACGCAGCGCCTGCTCGATGATAGCAATTAAAAACCATTTAATGATAATGAAAAGTTGAGGGCGGTTTCTGAAGGAGTTCTCCCCTCCGTCCTTGGCCGAAAGCTTCTCTCCTCGCTGCGCTGTTGGACAGATGGCTGCTGCCCCCCCCCAACACCTGCATTCAGCACAGGGGATGTGTGTGAGAAGCCCTCTGGGACAAGCAGAGCTATAGAAATGTAAATTAAATTATTTACCTGCTCCCAGCTAAATGCTCTGCCCTTCTGGCCAAGGAGGAATGGGGTGGGATGGGATGGGATGGGCTCCAGGAGCTCTGTGACAAAGTGCTGGAGCAAACTTGGAGGTGTTTCCATTGCCCTGTGAGTGTGGGGCTGCCCCCGACCCACAGCTGGATGTGCTGTGTGGGTGCAGTGCCCCAAAAGCTGCTCTTTGCATTCGTCCTCACTGGGATGCACGGAGCTGCCGTCTCTGCCTTCCTCTGGTGGAAGGGCACTGCTGGACATGGGGTGGTTTGGGGAGTGCAGGCATCCCCAGTAAGCAGTCCTGGTGAGAAAACCCACCTGAGAGAAGGGAATGGCAGCAGAGAGAAAACGGGGCTGGAATTGCGGAGTGGCAGGAGTGGCAGTGAGCAGCAGTGGGCAATGGGAGACAGTGGGCAGCAATGAGAGACAATGGGCAGCAATGGGAGATGATGGGAGACAATGGGAGACAGTGGGCAGCAATGGGAGATGATGGGAGACAATGGGAGGCAATGGGCAGCAATGGGAGATGATGGGAGACAATGGGGGAAAATGGGCAGCAGTGGGAGATGATGGGAGACAATGGGAGACAGTGGGCAGCAATGGGAGATGATGGGAGACAATGGGAGACAATGAGCAGCAATGGGAGATGATGGGAGACAATGGGGGAAAATGGGCAGCAGTGGGAGGTGATGGGAGACAATGGGAGACAATGAGCAGCAATGAGAGACAATGGGCAACAGTGGGAGATGATGGGGCACAATGGGCAGCAATGGGAGATGATGGGAGACAATGGGAGATGATGGGAGACAATGGGGGAAAATGGGCAGCAGTGGGAGATGATGGGCAACAATGGGAGACGATGGGGCACGATGGGAGATGATGGGAGATGATGGGCAGCAATGGGAGACTATGAGCAGCAATGAGAGATAATGAGCAGCAATGGGAGACGATGGGCAGCAATGGGAGATGATGGGAGACAATGAGCAGCAATGGGAGACAATGGGCAACTTAAGCGTGACAGTTGTCAACAGTGGGCAAAAAGTGGGCTGTGTAACAGTGGGCAGTGTTACAATGGGCAGCAGTGATCAACAAAGTGGGCAATGTCATTGTGACAGTGGGCAGCTGAAGGTCTCTGATGGGCAGCAGTGCACCGCACCGCTCACCTCCAGGCCCCTGGGGTTCTCACCCTCATGGGTCCCCACTGAAGTAGGGGTATCTGGGCCATGCAGCCCGCAACACCAGTGCTGGCACTGAGCTGTGGTTCCTCCCTGAGCCCTTTTTGCTCAGCTGCAGTGCTGTCACCGTTCTGCTTTGTCTCCTGTGTTGTCCGTATCGCACTGGGGCAGAGAACCATTCTGCCTTCCCACATTAACAACAGCTTTGTTAATTGAGCTCTGTGATGAGCGTGGGGCAGCAGGTTCAGCACCCCCCCAGCTCTGCTAAGGCTGCACCAGGGCTTGTGCTTCCCTGGATGTGAAATCTCCCTGCTGCAGGGAGCTCTGTGCCATTGCAGGCTCATCTGCATTGAAGCTGAATTCTGGCCCAGTGCTCAGCCAGCACTTTGTGTGCACTGAATGCCCTGAGTGAGGTTAAAACACATCGAGCTCAAAGCAGTGGGCTCTGCACTGTGCAGGGGGTGCAGGTGGCATTGCACCCAGCATTGCTCTGTGCTGCACCCAGCATTGCTCTGTGCTGCACCCAGCACTGCTCTGTCCTGCACCCAGCACTGCTCTGTCCTGCACCCAGCACTGCTCTGTGCTGCAACCAGCATTGCTCTGTGCTGCACCCAGCATTGCTCTGTGCTGCACCCAGCACTGCTCTGTGCTGCACCCAGCATTGCTCTGTGCTGCACCCAGCACTGCTCTGTGCTGCACCCAGCATTGCTCTGTGCTGCACCCAGCACTGCTCTGTCCTGCACCCAGCACTGCTCTGTCCTGCACCCAGCATTGCTCTGTGCCGCACCCAGCATTGCTCTGTGCTGCACCCAGCATTGCTCTGTGCTGCACCCAGCATTGCTCTGTGCTGCACCCAGCACTGCTCTGTGCTGCACCCAGCACTGCTCTGTGCTGCACCCAGCACTGCTCTGTGCTGCACCCAGCATTGCTCTGTCCTGCACCCAGCATTGCTCTGTGCTGCACCCAGCATTGCTCTGTCCTGCACCCAGCATTGCTCTGTGCTGCACCCAGCACTGCTCTGTCCTGCACCCAGCATTGCTCTGTCCTGCACCCAGCATTGCTCTGTCCTGCACCCAGCATTGCTCTGTGCTGCACCCAGCATTGCTCTGTGCTGCACCCAGCATTGCTCTGTGCTGCACCCAGCATTGCTGTGTCCTGCACCCAGCATTGCTCTGTGCTTCACCCAGCATTGCTCTGTCCTGCACCCAGCACTGCTCTGTCCTGCACCCAGCATTGCTCTGTGCTGCACCCAGCACTGCTCTGTGCTGCACCCAGCATTGCTCTGTGCTGCACCCAGCACTGCTCTATGCTGCACCCAGCACTGCTCTGTCCTGCACCCAGCGTTGCTCTGTGCTGCACCCAGCATTGCTCTGTGCTGCACCCAGCACTGCTCTATGCTGCACCCAGCATTGCTCTGTGCTGCACCCAGCACTGCTCTGTGCTGCACCCAGCATTGCTCTGTCCTGCACCCAGCATTGCTCTGTCCTGCACCCAGCACTGCTCTGTGCTGCACCCAGCACTGCTCTGTGCTGCACCCAGCACTGCTCTGTGCTGCACCCAGCATTGCTCTGTGCTGCACCCAGCATTGCTCTGTGCTGCACCCAGCACTGCTCTGTGCTGCACCCAGCATTGCTCTGTGCTGCACCCAGCATTGCTCTGTGCTTCACCCAGCATTGCTCTGTGCTGCACCCAGCACTGCTCCCCACTCAGCTCCAGCTCCTTTTCCTGCCGTGCTGCAGCCCATGCAGTTGCACAGCCCAAGAGCAGCTCTGGACACGCTCCTGTTTTCCTCTTTTGCACTGTTTGGTAAATGGGTGCTGGCAATCAGTTTTGCCCTGCAGTGAGGCATCAGCTGCGTTTGCTGCCTCATTTTGGAGGGCTGCACATCCCTGTGTCCCGCAGACAAAGGTTTGCACAGCGCACAGCTCCCATCCCCGCGCTGCCGCAGCCTCTCCTCGCTTCTCTCCAAACAAGATTCCTTTGGGATGCAGACACCCAGCCCCGCGTTTACCCAGAGCCCAAAAATGAGCCGAATCGGGGCTGCATTTGGCACTTGGGGGGATGCAATGCATGACATCCCACCCCGAATCCTTCAACCCCTCCAAAAATGGGCTGCAGCCACGACAGCTCTTCAGCTGCCGCTGGAGGGGATTGGATACGAAAGGCAGCGCCGCGGCCGTAACTCATCCCATTTTTTCATCCCTCCTTCTCCCCCCCCTCCTCCCCGTCCCCCCGGCGCTGCTCTCAGTGTAACATGACATGATTTAGGGCTCAAGTGCTGGGCTCCGTCTCGGGGTTTCTTTGCTGCATGGGGTTGAGGGGGGGGAAGAGGTTGGTGCCAAAGCGCCCAGCAGAAAGCGAGCTGCAGGATGGAGCATTTTCTGCCTTTTCCCCTTTTTTCAGCATTTGGAAATGCTGTGTGGGTTCCTCCCCTTCCCCCCCCCCCCCCCCCAAATCTCTGCAGAGGGTTTATGTGCTGCAGATTTCAGTTTCCCTTAATGGAAAAATGGGGTAAAAAGTGCAGCTTTTGTCCTTGGTTTGGTTGTGTTGCGTTGCAGGTGGGAACGGTGCGGGTTGGGAACGGGGAGAGGGAACTTGGGAACGATGAGGGGGAAAAATGGGGAATATGGGGGGGTGTGGGGAATAGTGGGAATAATGGGAATAATAGGGGGAATAATGGGGAATAATGGGGAATAGGGACAAATAATGGGGAGTGGGGATGGGGAATCATGGGAAATGGGGATGGGAGATAAGGAATGGGGAAAGGGAATGAGAAATAATGGGAAATGGGGAACCCAGGAATGGGAAAGAAGGGGTGGGGAAGGGGAAATAATGGGGAAGGGGGAATTGGGAGTGGGAGATAATGGCAAAACGAAAACAACCCCGTCCCATGCTGACCCCCATCCCGATGGCTGCCCTGCAGCCGTGCTTTGTTGCAGCCCACGAGGAGCTGCTCCTCCGTCCTCCTCTGCAGGAGGGTTTGCTTTAACCCTGTCCTCCCCTCTGCCCTTTCTGCCTTTGTCTGTGTTCAGGCAGCATCCCGGCCCCATTGCGGAGTTCCGTGGGGCGGCCGTGAGCCCCCCGGCCCCACAGAAATCCCTTGTTTTTTTCCCCACTGTTCTGCCTCTGGTGGATGTTGGACCGGCTGCGAATTGCAGGGCATTAAAAGCCTCATCTGCCCCGTCCCTAAGAGCCGAGCAGCCCCTAATTACGGCCTCTAATTAGGGCCGGCATCAAGCTGAGTTTCCTATCAGCTGCACTCTTCATAAACGGGTTCTCGGCCATCACTGTGCCCCATTCACTGCACGCAGTGCTGTTTTCCATCTGAGCAGTGTGCAAACACCACTCTGTGCCCCAACCTCGTCCCAGCCCCAACACCATCCCCAACCGCAACCCCATCCCATCCCAACCCCATCTCCATCCTCATCCCAACCCCATCCCATCCCCATCTTCATCCCCATCCCCATCTCCATCCCCATCCCCATCCCAACCCCATCCCACCCCCATCCCCCTCCCATCCCATCCCCATCTCCATCCCCATCCCAACCCCACCCCATCCCCATCTCCATCGCCACCCCATCTCCATCGCCATCCCAACCCCACCCCATCCCCATCTCCATCCCCACCCCATCTCATCCCATCCCATCCCCATCCTCACCTCATGCCCACCCCATCCCATCCCATCCCCATCCCATCCCAATCCCAATCCCATCCCATCCCATCCCAATCCCAATCCCATCCCATCCCAACCCCATACTCACCCCATCCCCACCCCATCCCCATCCCCACCCCATCCCCATCCCCATTTCCATCCCCATCCCCATCCCCATCCCCATCCCATCTCAACCCCACTCCATCCCATCCAGTCTCCATCCCCATCCCCACCCCACCCCATCCCCATCTCCATCCCCATCCCAACCCCATCCCCACCCCATTCCATCCCATCACCATCTCCACCCCATCCCCATCCCATCCCATCCCCATTTCCATCCCCATCCCCATCCCCATCCCATCCCATCCCCAACCCCCCACCCCATCCCCAGTCCCATAAAACGCAACCCGCATTTATTCACCCTTTTCTGAACCGTTTCATTTCAGAGGTTTACAAACGAGGACCACCTGGCAGTTCATAAACACAAACATGAGATGACATTGAAATTCGGCCCGGCGCGCACCGACTCGGTCATCATGGCAGGTACGGCTCAGCCCCGCGCCGCGTTAATGCCCACGGCTGCAAGATTAATGCTGGGGAGCAGATGCAGCGAGCCACGTCTCTGCCTCCCATAAAAAGCCCTGTGATCTGCATTTAATCAGGAGCAGAGCGGAGCTGGAGGCTGCTGACTTTCTGCTCGTTGGTTTTTTTTCCCCCCCCGCTTTCTTGACGGCGGTGTTGGGTTTTTTCTCCTTCTCTCTTTTGTTTTCCCCCCCCTTTTTGTCATTTGGAGGGGGGTGATGGGTGGACGGAGGTTCCTCTCTGGTGCAGGATGTGACAGCGAAGCTCCTTCCCCAGCACAGGCGTCGGCTTTTCCTTTTTTGGGGGTTTTGTTTTGTGAACCCAAACAGCCCCGAGTGCTGCAGGGTCAGCACAGCCCGTATGGGGAAAAGAAGGCACAGATCGGGGTCTGGCGGCAGAGCAGCGCTGCTTACTGATGCTCTCCTGCTTCGTTGGGATCCTCTTTTGGGTCTCCTATGGGGTGGGGGGTTTGTGTAGGGCTGAGAGCAGGGAAATCCCTTCTGCAGCCCTTGGGAAGGACGCGCTCACCCCACCTCCATCTCCAGCCCCATTTTGGGGCTGACGGGGAAGCGGCAATTCAGATTGCTGTGAGCCAGGGTTAGTGTTAGGGGTAGGGTTAAGTGTAAGGGGTGCAGGGTTGGGTTGGGTTGGGGTTGGCGGCTGTGGGTGAGGTCCTAAGAGAGCTGAGGCTGGACCCCAAGGGACCCAAAATGGGGAGAATTCGTTCCATGTGGGATCAGCGTCATGGGAGCTGATGGGGAAGGCATTGGGGTGGGGGCTGCAGGCAGGCTCAGTTTCCTGAAGGTCAGTTCTCCTTCAGTGAGCCCTTTGCTAAATAGGGGTGGGGGGTGGCTTTTCCTCTATGGACTCCCATCCATGTTGGCTGGGAGGGGATGGGAGCACAGATGAGGTGGTTCCATTCCCAAATCCTCATCTCTGCAGCTCCCAAAGGTGCACAGAGTCGTGGGTGAGATGCCAGCACAAAACACTTCAGGAACTGCTTTGTCCCGGGGTTTTCTTCCTCCCTCCCTCCCTCATTAGCTTTGTGCTAACGAGCGGCAGGATTCACCCGCACCAAAACACTGCAGTGAGGATGTGGAGGGTCAGAAGGAACAGAGCTCTCCCCACGCGAGGACTGATTGAAATGGGGATTGGGAGCTTCTGGGCAGTTCCTGGAGGTTGGGATGGGAGAGGTGGTGGGCTGGGAGCAGTCCTGGTGCTTTGTGGCATCAGGTGAGCGGTGCTGAGCGGGGAATGGTCCAAAAAGAGACCTGAAAACGCTGCAGAAGCAGCATCCCACTGAGATCTGCAGCCAGAGCAGGTCGTGGGCTTAATGGGGAGAGGTGTGGGCGAGCAAAGCGTGCTTAATGAACAAACCTTAATGAGGCAGGGAGGGTGGAATGCACCACGGCTCAAGGGAAGCATCCCAAGGACCCCCTTTGTGCTGGAAAGAGCAGGAGGGTCCCGTGCAGGCGGGTTGCTGCTGGTGGGTTTCTCCTCCTCCTCTGATCCCTCTGTGCTTTTGGGATCTGCTCCTTTCTGGGGACACCAACCCCACTCCTGCCCTCCGGTGTTGCCCCCGAGGACGGGCAGAGCCCCGGGTTGGGAGGGACAGGCCAGGAAAACACCGTCAGGTTTTGTGCTGAGCGGGGGGGTGCAGGAGGGGCGCAGGGGGGTACGGTGTGAATTGGTGTCGTTGTGCTGCCCCCCCAGATCAGACCCCGACGCCGACTCGGTTCCTGAAGAACTGCGAGGAGGTGGGGCTGTTCAACGAGCTGGCGAGCTCCTTCGAGCACGAGTTCAAGAAAGCCTCCGAGGATGAGGAGAAAAAGGCAAGAGGAGAAAGGCAGCGCTGGGAGCCCGGGCCGGGGGGGGGGCTGTGCTGGAGGGCAGGACGTCCTGCTGTGCCCATGTTGGGGTTTTCCTGCGGGGTGACTCTGGCTGCCAGTCGTGTGATGGGAGCCCCGTTTAGAGCGGGTTGGAAGGGTTTCTTATTCCCTCATTCCAAAGGGCAAAGAGGCGGTAATCCCAAACACGGCGCTGATCGGGGTGCAAAGGACCAACCCTGGGGGCTCCGGGATCTGAGCGGAATCCTTTCTGAACCTCTCCGGGTGTCAGATCCCCAACGATGCTCCCCAGAGGTGCAGCTCTGGGGTCCCCCCACAAAGGAGCAGGGCAGGGCTCGCGCAGCACCATCCACAGCGCGGTGCATTGCGGAGGGGAGCGGGGCTGCATGCAGGGGGGGCTGCGCTAACAACAAAGAGCCCCCTCGGCTGCCGGCAGCATCGATCCGGGCTGCCCCCGCCACCCCGGGGCTGAAGGACGGCGGGATCTCATCAGCCAGCAGCTCATTAAGGACGACTCCCCCCCTTCCCTTCTCAGGGATCGGAGGAGCACAGCTGCGTGCGGGGCTCTTAGGCTGCCACATACATTTACGGGGTTGATGGATGGACGTCCGTCCGCCCGCAGTCAGCGGCGCTGCTCGGAAATAAACCGCGGGAGCAGAGCGGCGTAAATCTTCCCCGAGATGGGGGACGGAGGAATTGGGAACGAGCGCTGCAAAGTGCCTCTCTCTGCTCCTGGCAGCACTCATCCATCTCCGCTCAGCGCTGCGGGGCCGTGCGGGCCTTCCTCCCCTCTGCACCTTTTGTTCTCCGCAGCTCAGACTGGAGCTGCGCCCCGTTGGCGGTTTGGGGTCGGCGCGGCTCAGCCGCCCGCAGTCTCGCCGCTCGCTTTACGGGGAGACCACCCAGCTCCCGTTGCTCTGCAGCCTTCAGCTCTGGGATATTTGCCTTGTAATTTTTGTTTGGCTCTTCAGGACGGCCGCAGGCAAAATATTTCCGCCAGCAGTCGGGAGAACGGCAGCGGCTCCGAGCTCAGGGGGTGGTTTGGGCGGAGGGGACGCGTTGACCCTCCCCAAAAAGCTCTGCTCAGCCCCCAGCCCCGCTGCCTCTGTGCCCCCCGAGCTGCTGCTGCATCGCTGCGATGCTCAGAGCATTGGCTGCCGGCGGCCCCACGGCTGCTGCAGGGTTTTGTCCTCTGTTTCCAAGGGTGGTCCGACAGCAGCGCCTTAATTAAAACCATGGGAGCAGCGGGAGCTTCCCTGGAGGCGCTTTAAGTGGTTCGAAATTTGCCTGCATGTTAATCCCTTCTCCTTTGTGCTTCCCATCTCTGCTGAGCAGGGCAGGTACGTGGCCACAGGCTCCGGTGTAAATCAGCGCCACAGCAGCCCCAGAGGCACAGATTTACCTTTTTGCCTCAATTTTCCCTCCCTGGAGAGGAGTTCAGATGCAGCAGAGGAGGAGGTGTGGGTTAGGGGCCGGGCTGGGCTGCCGAGCAGGGATGGGGGATGGAGAGCAGCTCTGAGTTACGGGCATTTCTGCCCTTAATCTGCCGCTCAGTGCAGGGGCCACTCCATCCAAATCCACCCCACAGCTCCATCCCACTCCGTTCCCTCCCAGCCCCACAGAAGCAGCCTCTCTCTCGTGTCCCCCCCCCCATTGTCACCTTCTTCCCATCCCCACCAGCTCCCCATCAGCTGCAATGGGGCACGTGGCACTGCGGGAGCCCAGGCTGGCGGCGTGTTGCCATCTGTGGGCATGCAGTCGGGTTTCATTTTAATGGGGAGCCCGTGGATGTTTAATAACTTGCATGGCTCTTTGTTTGCTTTCGATAATCGGGCAGTAAAATAATTCAGGCTGATTTATACAACGCTTTGCAGCTCTTTCTGCGGATGAAGGTGCCCTCTGTGGCTCAGGGCTTTGTTACCTGCTTTCCTCCACAGAGCCCTGGGATGCAAAGAATCAGCTCTGTGTTCTCAGCACGAGGTGCCATTGGGGCCGTGTGCTCACGGGGCCGGCGCGGCTTCGCTCTCCGCCTCGGGCTCCCAGCTGCTGTTTCAGGACCAATAAATAATAATAATTTGGCAGCTCAGAGCTGCAGCTCTTCCTTTGGGAACGGGCGGCCGTTCGGCAGGCGATGTGAGCTCATTGTCCTCTCAATCCATCGCTGGTTTTTCCGCAGAGCAACGCAGCCCTGGACATGTCGCTGCCCTCCACCCCAGACGTCAAAATAAAGGAGGAGGAGCCGGTGGAGGTGGACTCGTCCCCCCCTGACAGCCCTGCCTCCAACCCCCGGTCACCGCAGAGCAAGGAGAAGGTACGTCTGACCCCCAGCCCCGGCAGAGGCTGCACAGAGCAGAGCTTCCCCCTGTTTGGGTACCACTGTGGCTCATCTTGTTTGTGAAAGACAGAGAATCACTTCTTCCCTCCCCGCCGCTCTTCAAACACGCTTAAATCTCCACGTGGAGGTGAAGAGAAGCTTCCTGCCTGTCCCAGGAATGCTCTTCAGGTGGGGATGAAGTGCAGCCGTGCAGCTTCACCCCCAGGGTGGGCTGCAGGTGGTCAGAGCAGGAGAGGAGCAGTGAATCACAGAGGGGATGACTTCCCAGAGCCAGAATCTCTGTGCCCCGTTCCCTGCAGTGACATACGGTCAGTTTGGGTAAATGGTGCCCCTCTGTGCCTCAGGTTCTGTGCCTGAAGTTTCAGAGCCAGCAGAGGGAAACCAGAAGGGGCAAAGTATGGGAACTGCTGAGTCCTTGCCTGACCCACTGGTTGAGCACCAGGGGAAAGGAACCGGGCAGCCCTGGGAGCACAGGTGAAGGCAGTGCAGAAGCAGAAGAGGTGGAGCCTGGCTGCACCACTCTTAGACCCCATTTAAGGGCTGACTGCGGCTGGGGAAGGGTCTCTGTTTGGGGATCCCTCCTTTGTGCAGCTCAGAGACGAGTGAGCGCCTTCCCTTTGGAATGCCATCCCATTCTCTCTGGTCCCTTTGCTGCTGTACTCCTGTTTTGCCCTTCCACCGTGTTGATCTGTCAGATTGTAACAGGCAGCCAGGTTTGGGTGAAGGTAAATCATGGGATCGTGGAGCGTTTGGGCTGGAAGAGTCCTTAGAGATCATGGAACCGTAGGATGGTTGAGCTGGAAAGGATCTCACAGCTCCAGTTAATAACTGAACAGTAACCTCGTGTCTCCTTTTATCTGTTGGCCACCTTTAGGAGATCACTCCCAAGCCTGTGATCATTTCCACGCCAACACCAACCATCGTGCGCCCCGGATCGCTGCCCCTGCACCTGGGCTACGACCCCCTGCACCCCACGCTGCCTTCCCCAACCTCTGTCATCACCCAGGCCCCGCCATCCAACAGGCAGCTCGGGTGAGTTTGTAGCACAAGTCCTTGCCCCGAGGCTCCCCTCCTGTTATGCTTCCCGAGCAGTAATTAGGGACCCAGAGAAGTTCCTTGATTGGCAGAAGATCCGAGGTGCTGCGGCTGCTTGGGCATAAGGGCCTCATTGCAAAAGCAGAATGGGGTGGAAGTGCAGGAGGCAGGAACTAATTGTTGCAGTGTAATGAAACGAGGCGGATCTCACTGCAGGGAGAAATTAATCCCCGAACACAGAATCATAGAAGCTTCCACCAGGAGGTGCCCTGGGCTCCCACAGCTCTGCACGCTCCGTGGGGCTCTCCCAGCACTTCCCAGCCTGAACTGGGGGCCCAGTGCTCCTCATGGGGCCTCCCCAGCACAGAGCAGAGTGGGGAGCACCTCTGTGCAGTGACCCCAGGGAGCCATTGGCCTCCTTGGCCACCAGGGCACGCAGCTGGTTGTGGTCGATCGTTGGTCAGCCAGGACACCGTTGGTGTTCTCAGCCACCAGGGCACACTTCTGGCTCACGGTCTCCCTCGTTGCCACCGGGACCCCCAGGTCCTTCTCTGCAGAGCTCCTTTCCATGAGCCCGGCCCTGATGCACACCAAAGCCCTGATGGTGTCTGGGGACTCCCCAGCTGCCTTTGCAGCCTGGTGCGGGGCAGAGAGCTCAGCAAAGCCACCCGTAGGAAGCTGTCTGTGTCTGTAGTGGCCATGGGATTTTCTCAGACAGCCGCTGCCTCTGCAGCAGAGCCTCTTCTCCAGCCTCTGCCCTCCTGCACGCTCAGCATCTGCCCTGGGAGCCGTTCGTTTCAGCCCAGCGATCGACTGCCCCTTTTTGCCCCTTGATGCATCCAGCATCAGCTCAGAGCTCACTGCTGGCTGCAGCCCTCGGGAGATGCCCTTCTTCTGCCCTTGTTCCACCTGCATTCTGCCTCTATTCCACCTTTATTCTGCCCTTGTTCTGCCTGCATTCTGCCTCTATTCCACCTTTATTCTGCCCTTGTTCCACCTGCATTCTGCCTGTATTCCACCTTTATTCTGCCCTTGTTCTGCCTGCATTCTGCCTGCATTCCACCTTTATTCTGCCTGTGTTCCACCTGCATTCTGCCTGCATTCCACCTTTATTCTGCCTGCATTCCACCTTTATTCTGCCTGTGTTCCACCTGCATTCTGCCTGCATTCCACCTTTATTCCGCCTGCATTCCACCTTTATTCTGCCTCTGTTCCACCTTTATTCTGCCCTTGTTCTGCCTGCATTCTGCCTGCATTCCACCTTTATTCTGCCCTTGTTCTGCCTGCATTCTGCCTGTAACCCAGGCTGTTTGGTGCAGAGTCCCCCCTCGCTTGGAGACATGAGAAAATCAAACTGGAGCAATCTGGGCTTCAATGGGGTTTTGTGTCCTCTGCAGCTCTCAGGGATGGATCCATCCCACAGCTCCACGGGGGGGGGGGGGGGTTTGGCTGCAGCCATAATGGGGCCGCAGCGGCCGCGGGGGGGTTGTCAGCGTGACAGAGATGGAGGGGAGGGCTGTGACCTCCCCACAGCTCGCCTTGTTAGCCTGGGATTTTCAAAGCAGCCTGGAGGATTTGGGATGCCCAATAGAAATGAATGAGAGCCGAGCGTTGGCGTTCCCAGGGCAGCCTTAAAAATTCCAGCCTGAGTTATGGGCACGCGGAGCCCCCCTCTCTGACCCCGCTCCCCCCACGCCGCCGTCGCTCCGCGCCGGCTCCATCCATCCCCCATCCCCTGGGCTGCGCTGGGAGGAGGGGGCAGCTCTGCTCTCCTCCCTACTGCTCTCTGCACCGTTCTGCTCCGAGCAGGAGGAGCTCCAGGGTCGTTTTCCTTCCTCTCCCCATCGCTTGCTCCGTTCCACCCCCCTTTCCCTGTGCAGGACGGTCACCGCCTGAGCGCGGCGCTCTGAAATGGAGTGAGAGGAGCGAAATGGAGGCAGAGCCCTTGAGCCGAGCGAAATCTGCAGTGGAAAAAAAAAAAATCCTTGGTTGTTTTCATTTGTAGCAATGAGGCCCCATCGCCTCCACCCCACCTTCCACACTGCTCAGTTCACAAAGCGCCCTTCGGAAAGGGGAAAGCCCGCAGTTCATTCGTGCTGCCTGGACGACGCCGGCCCCAAATAACCCCCGAGCCCCGCGCTGTCTTTGCAGGTCACCCACAGGTTCCCTTCCGCTCGTCGTGCAGCTGCCAAACGGGCAGACGATGCCCGTCCTGCCCGGCCCCCCCATGCAGATGCCGTCTGTGATATCGGTAAGGGAAACGCAGCACGGCTCCGCCAGGCGGAGGGGAGGGAGGGACGGCGCTTTTCCCCCTGCCAAGGCGCTTCCGTGCTGCAGAAATTAAAGTGCGTCTCCCCGCCCTGCGCAGGATAAGGCTTGAAGCAGGAGGGGAGGGTGGGTTTTGGTGGGGGGGGGGGCGGCTCTGGCAAGGCAGCAGTAACGCGGCGATCGCACTAGAGGGCAATCAGTCTGGAGAAGAAACAAAGCCGTGCCCGGACAGATGGCTCACGCCGTGGATGGAGGCTGGGAGCTGCAGGGGCACCGATTACCGCTCCCATTTGGAGCCGCGTGCTGCAGTCGGAACCATCCGAGCTTGCAGTGAACGTGTTGCTCTTTGCAGGCCAGCAAAGCCGCCCCCCCCTCTGCCCCTGCATCACCAGAGTGCCGTGCAAATGTTCTCCTCACGTGCTGGGCTTTTTGCATGCGGGGAATTACAGAGCTCAGGAGCAGCTCTGAGCCCCGAGAGCCTCAGCTTCCCCCCCACCCCCTCCCAGGCACGGATCCCGCTGTGTGTTTTGGCTTTGGAGCAGCCAAAGCTGCCCCAGGTTGAGGGGAGGTCGGTGTCAGAGCAGGCAGCCCCGCGCTGCTCGTGGGCACGCAGCTCTCTGCGCCGTGCTGCTGCCTGCAGGCACGGCTTTGGGGCTGCAGTGCTTTGCAACAGCGGACCTGAGCGGCGTGCCAACGCAAGTGCAGGTTCTGTGTTCCCCGTGGTGAGGGCAGAGCTCTCCTCGCTTAGCAGGAGACGCTTCGATGCTCCCCCGGCGCTGCTGCAGCTCTGCAGCGCTGCCGAGAACCGGAGCGCTGCGTTTCTTCCCACCCAGGGATGGGGAGAGGAGGGAGGTGTGGGGCTGCTGCTGCCGGGCAATCCTTCACCAGCAACCGTGGCCACCAAAGGGGCGGCTGCTGCCCTGGGCTGACAGCAGCACTGATAAACGGCGGCAGTTAAACGCCGAGATTTGTCAGGGCTGATAAATGCGCTCGGTCGGGGAATGATGGCGGGGCTCGTTGGCACCGCGGCTCCTAACGCTGCGTCGGTTCCTCCCCATCAGCTGGCACGGCCCGTCTCCATCGTGCCCAACATTCCCGGCATCCCCGGGCCGCCCATCAGCAGCAGCGGCTCCGTTTCCCCGTCGGGTCTCCCCGTGCACTCAGAAGCCAAAATGGTGAGTGTGCAACGCGTGCCCGTTCCGTCTGCGCTGGCCCCTGCAGGAAGGCTTTTTCCCCTTGGTTTTTTGCAAAGAGCAGCTCTGAAATCAGGTCGGAGTGCTGCTCTGTGCTGGGATCAGGTGTTGGAGGGGCTGCGGCTCTGGCCTGCAGGGTGGGCACTCGGTGCTGGTGGGACGCAGCTCAGCCTGGCGTCGTCTGTGCAGAGCTGCTGCCTGCATCCAAGGTAACAGATGGGCTGGAGGTGGGCTTGGGGATGGCGGAGCCAAGAGCAGGGATGCTGTGCTGCAATCCGAGGGTCTGGGTAATGGGTTTTGTGCAGAGCCTTCGACTGAAGGTCTGTGAGGGAAAAAACACCTCAATTTTAGAACAAAGGGCAGCGAAACCCCGTTGTTTTTTGGTCAGAACGGGGGGGGGGGGGGGGGTGCAGATCTGCCTCCCTGCAGCGCTGTGCTGTTCCACGCTGCCACCTCTCCACGCCACCACCAAGTGTGTGCAGGGCTCACGGGCAGAGCTGCACCATGGCTGAGATATCTCAGAACGCTCAAGGGATGAAAGGAGGCCCTCCACCATCCCCATCCCATCCCCATGTGGGCACTGTGTCAGTTTGGGGATGCGGGCACCTGTCTGAGCTGCTGCCTGCCTCGAGCCAAGCCAGGCGGTGGTGGTGGCTTCACTTGGGTTTGGAACGGCCGCTGTCTCTCCTCAGTCACCTGGGTGGGAAAGGAGCTGCATTAAGCCTCAGCAGAGCGGGGAAGGGGTGGCTGATGTCCCTTGTTCTCCTCTGGCAGAGGCTGAAGGCCAGCTTGACGGCGTCTTCCTCGCTGAACGGCAGCGGCCTGGTGGTGGGCTCAGCCAGCACGATGGTGACGGCGCGCCCAGAGCAGAGCCAGATCCTCGTCCAGCACCCCGACGCTCCATCGCCAGCTCAGCCTCAGGTCTGCTGCTGCCCAGCCCCGGCGCTGGGGGTTGCTGAGCCTCAGGGGAGCAAACCTCGCACCTTCCCGGTTTGCAAAAACGGTTTAAAAGCTTTGTTTTTCCAGCGCTGCTTCGGCTCTGAGGCTCTCGAACGCCACCAGGCAGAAAACTCCACCGAGGCGTTCATCTGCTTGACAAGGGCTGCAGTTTGAAAGAACATTTTGCTCCCTTCTCCCCGTTCGATTACGAGGGTTAAAGGCTCCCCTCTCAGGCAATCAGCTCCGGCAGCTCCTGCCAGCTCACCAAATGCCAGCCCTCCATCAGCATCGCCACCTGCTCTGTCAGTCGCAGCGCCTTCCAAAAGTTTTAATGTCCATCTGCTGCCTGACAGCCCAGCAGCCGCAGTGGCAGAGCCCACCAGGTTGGGACCCCGCACCCTCCCCGCCGTTTCCTTTGTTCTGAAATGAGCCTGGGATGTGGTGTGGAGCTACAAAATCTTCCCGTTGCCTCCGAGAGCGCGTCTGGCTGAAGGCGTTTGGAGAAAATGGAAAGCAAATTAATCTTGAAAGCAAATTGCCCACTCAGAAACCACTGTTTGTGCTCTGCCTGTGCTTGTGGACCCCGAGCGTGGTTCCGTTCCTCCCCAGCCCGCTCTGCAAACCGGATCCCTCTTTCCCCCAGCCCCAAGATCCCGCATCTCCTCCTCCAGGCCTGGTGGGAAACGCTTGCTCCGCTCTGTTGGCTGCGTGCTCCCTTTCAGCATCTCTTCTCCCCATCTCCAGGTTTCCCCTGCACAACCCACTCCCAGCACCGGCGGTCGGCGGAGGCGGACGGTCGATGAGGACCCCGATGAGCGCCGGCAGCGTTTCCTGGAGAGGAACAGAGCTGCTGCCTCGCGCTGCCGGCAGAAACGCAAGCTGTGGGTGTCTTCCTTAGAGAAGAAAGCCGAGGAGCTCACAACCCAGAACATCCAGCTGAGCGTGAGTATGTGACCAGTAAGGCTGAGCTCAGCCGGGTCGGTCACCGCGGAGGGAACGTCGTCCCCGTGCTGCAGAGAAAACGCCTTCGGGTGCTGCTGTGAGCTCCACACGTATCAGTGCAGGTCAGGGGCTGAGCTGTTGGAAAGGAGCCGTGTGGAGGAGGACCTGGTGGGCTGTGTGCCCTGAAGGCCAGCGGTGCCCTGGTTGGCCAAAGGTTGGCCAGCAGCTGACCGGTGATCAGCCATGAGCCAGCAGTGAGCTCCAGTGGCCAAGAAAGCCGGTGGTTCCCTGGGGGGAGCTGCACAGAGCACCTCCTGCTGGGGACGGGGTGAAAGCAGCCGCGTTTATAGGACAAAAATCTCCTTCCTGGAGGTGGGAGCGCTCTGCTGGCACAGGTCAGCACAGCACAGCAGTCCCGCTTCCCTTCATGGGGCAGAGGGCTGAGCAAGGAGGTTTTGCAGCTGCAGCCACAGATTTTTGCGAAGAATTGAGTCTTTCTGGCTGCTCCCCTCCTGCCTGCAGAAGTGCAGCAGGTCTAAAAGCAGCTGAACGGAACCTTTCTCCTCTTGCAATTATCCCCCTCATTAATGCCCTCAGCGTTGGCCTGCGATTGGTCTGCAAAAACCAAACTCGTGTCCATCCTGGCCTTTTTCTCCCACTGCTTGCCCACGACTCATGGAATGGGATTTTTTTCAGTAGCGCCGATGGTGGCATTGAATTCTCTTCCCAAAGTAATTCTAGAAACTGTTTCCTAGGGCAGTTCTGCAGCGTAACTGACGGAGTTTCAGCCGTTTCTCCAAACCTTTCCATAGAGGGCAGTGATTTTGCTGCACCGAGCTTGGAGGGAAGCGAACCCGAAAGTTGTGGGGGCTCAGGAAGGGTCGGGCAGAGAGAGCACAGCGAGGGGCAGCTCAGGAGAGCTCTGGTCAAGCTGGGTTGGCCACCAAATCCCCCCCACCCGGAGGCTTTGGCGTCCCCAGGCCGTCTCCAGCTCGATGCCAAGCGTTGAGCTCGCAGGACGAGCTGGCAGCAAGGCGTCCGTACGTCCACACGTCCACACGTCCACACGTCCTTGTCTTTCAATCGCAGAACGAGGTGACGCTGCTGAGGAATGAGGTGGCTCAGCTGAAGCAGCTGCTGCTGGCTCACAAGGATTGCCCCGTCACCGCGCTGCAGAAGAAGACCCAGGGCTATCTTGGTGAGCGCCGCCTGCTGCTGCCGGGAGGCTGAACCGCAGCAGGGACCACAGAAGGAGGGTTTTGTGGTTTTGGGAACCTCAGGCTTTGCTCCGTCTCCCCCTGGTTGCTGTTGTCCACGTGCAGCTTCACCCCTCCGTGCGGCCTTTTTGTCCCCGTGCTGGGGGACGTGGCTCCCAGCCAGCAGCTCCGGGCAGCACTTTGTGTCTTTAAAACCCATCTCTGCTCTGAAAGCAGGGTCAGGAACGAGCAGGTTCTGTCAGTGACATCCTGGGGCTCCAGATCTCCTTCCCTGTGACACCAGAGTGGCTCAGGAAGCTGAAGGCCTCGTTTTTATCTTCCCGTTTTCTTCCTTTCCTTCCTCTTAGTTTTTATACCACCTACTTCGTTCTCAGGCTGCCTGGCTGCTTCTCACCTCATCGCATTTTATGCAGAGGCCTTTGGAGGACTCTGCCCCCCTTCCCCCTCCATTCCCTTCCCAACTTTCCAGTTCCCATGGCAGTGTTACGTTGAGACCCTCATCAGCTTCATTTCCAGATCTCGCTCCCTTTTGCCCAGTTGTAGCAGTGGGGGATTGGGGTGGAGCTGTGGCTCCTGTTGGGCTCAGCCCTGCAGTTCTGGGCTGGGAGGTGAGCGTTCAGGAGACACAGAACCGTGGAATGACAGCGTGGATGGGTTGGGAGGGTCCTTAAAGGACATGGAAGTGTGGGATGGTTGGGTTGGAAGGGTCCTGAAAGATCACAGAACAATGGGGTGGTTGGGTTGGAAGGGTCCTGAAAGATCACAGAACAATGGGGTGGTTGTGTTGGAAAGGTCCTGAAAGGTCCAAGGTCCATGGGATGGTTGGGTTGGAAGGGTCCTGAAAGATCACAAAACTGGGATGGTTGGGTTGGAAGGGTCCTGAAAGGTCCAAGGTCCATGGGATGGTTGGGTTGGAAAGGTCCTTCAAGATCACAGAACTGTGGGATGGTTGGGTTGGAAAGGTCCAGAAAGATCACAAAACTGGGATGGTTGGGTTGGAAAGGTCCAGAAAGATCACAAAACTGGGATGGTTGTGTTGGAAAGGTCCTGAAAGGTCCAAGATCCATGGGATGGTTGGGTTAGAGGGGTCTTTAAAGGTCCCAGATCCATGGGATTTTCGGGTTGGAAGGATCCTTAAAGATCCCCAAACCACAAAATGGTTCCCCAGCCGCTTCTCCTCCATTTTCTCTTCCCTTCTCCCAACAGAAAGCCCCAAGGAGAGCTCGGAGCCCACCGGCTCCCCCGCGCCCGTCATCCAGCACAGCTCCGTCACCGCGTCCCCCAACGGCCTCAGCGTCCGCTCGGCGGCCGAAGCCGTGGCCACGTCGGTGCTGACGCAGATGGCGAACCAAAGGACAGAGCTGGCCCTGCAGCCACACGTCATCATGGCCCCACAGTCGCAGTCTGCCGGCAGATGATGCTCGTGGCCCCGCAGGACTGAGCGCGGCCGCCTCCCCCCCCCCTTTTCCCCCCTCCCCCCCACCGCGGGACGGCGCGGATTTGGGGCTTTGGTTTTCTTTGCTTCGAGCGAAGGGCGGCTGTTGGGGTTTCCGAAGCTGCACCGCGGCCCCCCGGCCCCGCGTGCGTCACCCGAAGGCGCCCGGCCGCACTTTGTGAGCCGACCTGCAGACGTTTTGCTTTCGGCTCCCGTGAACACTAAAGCTCCGCTCCCAGCAAAGTGAAGCCCCGGGGGGGAGGGGGAAGGGGGGGGGAAGGACGCGAGGTTTCGTTGCCGCTGCCCGGCGCTGTTTGAGACTGAGCAGAGCTGCTGCTGAAGGGATGGAGCTCGGGCTCCTCACCGGGGACGGATTTCGGAGCTCGGAAGCGCACCGGGATCCCCGTTGCGATGTCTGTGGGTTTCCTGCAGGGCGAACCCGGCGCTCCTCATCGCTCCCGGCCCCGAGGATCGCGACGATCTCGCGTTGGTGGCCTTAAATCCCGCATCGTTGCCTCTTCCGAGGTGGGGAGGGGGGGTGGGAGCACGGGGAGGGGGGATGCCGCTGCTTTGCCCTGAGCTTTCCCTCTCCATCCCGGTCGCGTTCTGCTCTTCTGACCCGGAGCTGAGCGGAGCAGAGCCGACCCAGCACCGAGAGCTGCGGGTTCCCTTCCAGGGCTCCTTGTGCGAGCATTGGGGATGCAGTCGGTATTTTGGAAGCGAAGGGCTCCTCTGGGACCCCCCCCCCCAAACACACACAGCTCTGTGCCCCCCCCTCCCGCCCCCCCCCCCCCCCCCCAGCTCCCCTCAGGTCGCACTTTGCCACTTTGGAGCTGAGTTCGGTGCTCAGCGCCGCTCCTTCGGGGCAGCAGAACCCGAAGCGCTGTTGGGTTGTTTTCCCATTGACCAGCAGCTCTGTGCTTCCCTTCCAACCCAGCATTTTTGCCCTGCTCCCACTTCCAGATCGGTTGAGGGCCGTCGGCGGCTCAGCAGCTCCTCCAAGCTGCGAAACGCGATGGGAACGCAGGAACTGATGGAGGAAAGCAGTCGGAGCTGCTTCGCTTTCCCCATATGCGGAGCAGCAGCCGCCCCGACCCCGCGGTGCCCCCCGGTGCCCCCCGGGACCCCCAGTGCCACGGCTCTGCCCCGGAGCTCTGCGGGGCGGCACAGCTGAGATCTCAGTGTCTCCGCGTTCACTTCACGACCCCCAAAAGAGATTTTCCAGCTCCCAACCCGAGCCCCGTGTCCTCGTGGCAGCGCTGTCACTGCCTCACCCCATAGGGGACCCCGCTGCCCGGACCCCAACCCGAATCCCTCCCCATCTCCGCGTGCCTTGAGCGGACCCCAGCCCTTCGGGCACCACAAATGGGTGCGTTGGATAAACGCTGGCATCTCCCCCCATCCAGGGGGGCGCAGCGTCCCAAAGCCATAAATTGGGGTCTCTGTGGCACTCCGGGTCGGGTCGTCCCTCCCCCCCCCCCCCCCCGTTGCCCCCCACCCCAGGGTGGCCGCCTGCCCGTCCTCCCAGCTCAGCTCCGGGACTGTGGGGAGGAGCCCAATTTCTGCTCTGGGATGAAGGATTTCTGCTTTGCCCCCCCCCCCCCCCCACCCTTTGCGGTGCCTTAACCCCTCTATGCCCCCCCCCTCACCCCCCCGTCCAGCTTTGGGGCCGGAGCTGCCCGTTGTGTCACTTCTGGACCCCGTTCCCCTTTGGATCCCCATTCGTTTGGAGGCGACGGAGGGACCCCCTCAGCTCTGACGATCAATAATGGAAGAAGCCAAGAAAAAAACGACCTTCCCCCCCTCCACCCCCCCCCCCCAAAAAAAAAAGTACGCGTAACCACGAGGTGTAGTATATACAGCATATTACGAGTATATCCAGACCTATATAGACGTGTATCACTTCCGAACGGACGCGCAGCCCTTAACGCTACGGAACGGTTTTGCGCCGTCCCCCCCCCGCAGGGCCGCCCCTGTGAGCGGGACCTCACAGCCCCGGGGGGGCGCGGGGGAACGGCGTTCATGTGC